GACATTTACGCTAGGAGGACAGCATACATGAAAGGAGGACTGTCCTCCTCAAAGGAGTACGTCTGGTCACCTTAATTGAAATCATCATCAAGTACTTCATATGCAAGCATCGCATAGTGTGCTGGAGAACTATCATGTTGAAACCACATGTTCTGTCGTACTTCTAACCTCAAGTTTTCAAGTAATGTTGGCAGTTTATTTTTCAAAATGTCTATATTTCACCATTCAAGTTGCCTTCAAGAACGTGGACTCATTTTTGATTATTTACATTTGAATGCATAGGTTCTCAGTACGAACAATAAAAAAAAAATTGAGTTTCATTTATTACAGCGTCATCTGTAATGAGGTAATGACTAATGAATATAGAAAAATGTTTTAGACAAACCCTACGTATTTTTAGTCCTAGAATCCGAATCTGTAATAAAAATTCGGGGTTTCTATTTAAGATTTCAAAGTTACCTCCCGCCCCACCTACAGGGAGGGGGAAGGGGGACTAGTTTATTGCATTAAAATATATATACGTTCCTCTCGATGGATCGAGATCGCCGCTTCGACGTTTTTCTGGGCCCCGCAATCGAGACTTCCGGTAACCCGCTCGAGACTCATCTTTATGGAACTAAGTTTAACTTTTTCCTGCAGACTACTCTAAATGCTGCTAATTAATGACAACATTATTGTTTTATTAGTGTCTTACGCAAATCGTTAAACTGTTGGTGAAAAAATAGATAAATTACTTTACTTATGGTTGTATCGAAAGGTTATTTTTTATTACTGTAGATTTTAAAATCAAACGTGCCAAATTTGTAGAGCGGCTCCGCCCACCCACCCTCTATTTTCTTAAAGGATGTCATTTGCCAAAATCAGTCTTGTCGTGGCAAGTACTAGCCCCGCCCACCCACCCTCTGTCTTCTTGGAAGCTATGTTATTTGCCAAAATCCGTCTTATCTTGGCAAGTATTAACCCCTCCCACCCACCCACACTCTTCTTATTCTAAGGACTAATTTTATTTCGGTTCAGTTTGGAATCCATTTTCATTCAAACCAGATAAAATGAATGACTGAAATGGGGACCGGGTGGGTGGGCGGGATTAATTATTTTTTCTTCTGTAGAATATGTGTGGGGCAGTTAAAAAAGAAAAAAGGGCTAACCGTATTTTTTTGTGTATTATTTACTTTACGATTTTTTTCTTATTTTACAAGAAACAAATGAGAGAACGGGTGGGTGGGCGGGGCTAAGTTTAACTTTTTCCTCCAGAGTCTTTTATAGGCAAGCAATAGCCCCGCCCGTCTGCCTCCTCTTCATTCTAGTGACTACTTTAAATGTGCTAATTAGTGACAACATTATTGTTTTATTAGAGTCTTACCCAAATTGTTAAACCGTTGGTGAAAAAATAGATAAATTACTTTATTTACGGTTATCTTAAAAGGTTATTTTTTATTGCTGTAGATTTTAAAATCCATCGTGGCAAATTTGTAGAGTGGCTCCGCCCATTCGTCCCCTCTTTATTCTAGTGACTACTCTTAATATTGTTCAGTCTTATCTTAGCAAGTACTAGCTCCGTCCACCCCTGGTCACCGCCACCGATGAGGGTTCACCCATCATGGCTGCACTTACTTGAAAACTCTCGACGGCCCATAGGCGTCGTACCATGGGTTTATTTCGTAACAGTATTTAAATTCTATATACACCATTGTATTGAGATTTAAGAGGGAAGTTGTACATTGTAAATATGACGAATAACTAGATAAAGTCGACATGTAAGTTCGTTCAAACGGTAAAATACTATATACAATTATTTTTTAAATAATGTGTACGATAAAATAACCGTGATAATAAGGCTCACTGACAGAATTAGCTATAAACGTAGCCCTAGTACAATTAATATAATGCATTCAACAAGATTAATTCCTTCAGAACTGTAAATTAAATTAAAATAATCACTTAACCGAATCGAGTAAACCACCTCAAAACTAGCAAAAAACAGCATTTTTGTGTAATTTGTAACATTTTTTACTTATGTTTTACTGAAAGCTTTGTTCTATACAATTATTTGTATTTTTTTACAGGGTGTCGCATCCAAGTTTGGATATAGAGAATTAACATGGGGAATTTGTTTTTATTTTTTTCGAATCGTTGCATCGCGACCATTCACTGTAAAAGGCTTTAAAAATCGTACTTTGAAGTTAGCGCTAGGTCCGATTTTTCGCGGCACGACGATCGCGTCTTTGAATTAGCCAAGGAAAATCGAAATATCAAACTGAATTTAGAAATTATTCCTCGATTCTCACACAGAAATCAATGAACAACTCAAATTGTATTATTCTCCGACTACACTCAAGCCGTATCCAAAAAATCGAGATGAAGCCCTTCGAGCAGCTCGTCTTCCTTAATACCTCCATCGGCAGCATCGTGACACGTCCTGGGGGCCCGTCAAGCTAGGAATTTACTCGCACTACCTCACTCAGTAATCGCTGAACAACTCAAATTGAATTATTTTATCCAGTGTAATGAACATTGTAGCACAATAATGTAAACATAATAAATGCACAAATTGCACAAAATATTTTACGAGGTTATGTTGCTAGTGCCACTCAATTTTAGTGAGCTTTTATTACTAAAATCCCATTAAAATGCTATGTTCTACTGCGATTAGATGAAAAAGCGAGGCCCTGCTTGTCCGTCAATGGTTAATTTAATCAGTAAGCGCTTGCTTTGAGGACAATGTTGTAAGATCGAGCTACATACACGTTTCTTCATTTTTTGAGCTCGGAAAGAGATAATATTTTAAATAGCAGAGACAATATACGGGAATCAACTTATCGGGCCAAAGAATTTTTGGCAATTTTGGTTAAATTTCACACTTTGATTACGATTTTACATTTGTTAAGCAGAAATTCCATTCCTGCCACCTGGAAGCATGTTCGTTACAAGAAATTTTTGAGAGAGAAATATAGAAAATTGACTCTGATCTTGAACATTTTAAAATATTTTTCTCTATTACTGATGTGTTTTGGGCTTCAGAAACTTTAGTATTGTTCAATTTGTTTGTTTTGTTAACAAGAACAAAAATAAAAATAATGTTTCAGAACACAAAGTTACATTTATTTTCAACAGTTATTAGACATAGTTGCTAAGGATGTCAAACAGATGGGATACAAGAGCTTCAAAAAGCACCATGCCAAAGAATTGAAGCTTTAGGACTACTTCTCAAGTATCCAGTTTTGTAAAGAGACCCCTGAGAGAATCTGGGCTGATGGAGACTATGAGAAACATTTATTTCAGTGACGAACGTTCAGCGTGTGGTTAGGCCTTCTAGGGCATCATGTCATTCAATCTTTTTTCATCGTATCTGGATTAAATGCTACTACCATGATATGCTACCTCAGCCAATACTTCCTAGGATTCGAGGGATGCGGCATCTGCACAAGGTCTTTTACATGCAAGACCAAGGCTCCAGCCATACCTACATTTCCGTAATGTTGAACAGGAAAGTTCGGTACCGACTCATTGGCCTGCGCGTTCGCCCGATTTAAATCCCTGCCTTTTTTTTCTTGGGGATTTCTTCAGGACCCTCGGTATTCCAACAATACCAGCCTTCAAATTTCACCTCAAATGCTGATCAACATGCAAGTTTTGAAGATCGACTTACTTAGGTACTCTACAGCAGCTGAGGGTGGCCTTTTTGAGCAATTCATGTAAATAGTACAATACTTCGTCAAGTTTAGATAATATTTCGTTAGTTCATTCTTTACCTATTCTTGAGTTTTGTTATTTTTCGTTCTCTAAATGGTTCATCAAAAGATGCTTTTCAAAACCGCCAAGTGTAGTTTTTATGATAAATCTTACCATCACGTGATAAGAGCAAGCAGGTCCTCGGTTTTTCATCTAATTGCAGTAAAACATAGCACGTTAATGAGATTTTAGTAATAAAAACTCACTAAAATCGAGCGGCACTAGTAGGAACATAACCTCAAAATATTTTGTGCAAGAACACTGGATAGATAATTCAATTTAAGTTATTCGGTGATTTCTGAGGGAGAATCGAGGATTAATTTCTAAATTCTCTTAGAGATTTAAATTTTCCATGGTTAATCTAAGGACGCGATCATCGAACTGAGACGGAGCGTTTCGCGACAAATCAGACCGACCGCTAATTTCAAAATACGATTTTTAAAGACTTTTTACAGTGAATGGGCACATAGCAAATTTTTGAGAAAAATACTGGCCGATAGCCCTCGTTTATCTTCACAAATGTTTCATAATCGCTTTAAGGCGATCTGATCTTGGTATTTGTATCTGAAATGACCATAACCTAACAAAACGCATGCGCACAAAGTCCTTGAGTACAGAAAAGTATCAATTTAGTCGTTGAAGAACCCACCTAAAACATTGCTTTACAAACGTAATTAGTTATTTTTAAAAACCCGGACAGAAATCGAAAATCCGGCGGGGCACCCCCGGACAATCGAAAAACCAAAAAATATCCAGGAAAATTCGGATGTACGGTAATCCTAGTTGCAGCTTGCATATGAAATGGAAAAAACAAAATAAATATTTCTTCCAAAGTGACTTTAGGGGTCCATTTTTTATTCTTGTAAATATAGCATAATGAATTAAGGGCGTAAATTAATAATTGCGCTAAGTCAGTAGCCGGTAGAATACGATAAAACATTCGAAACAATGACCAATCTCGAGCCTGTTATTGTTCTTTTTTCAAATTGCGGTCCATCTGAGCCCCAAAAATCTATTGTTGTCAAAGGAACAATATTTCCACGTTACGTCCAATCCGGGTCGAAAATTCTTTAAACCCGGGAATTGTCAGCGGTTTTCCCTTTGTTTTATTTACATCCGCTGCGGAAGGAATCTCCATCACTGGCGTTTAGCGTATTGTTCCGGCAATTCCCTTACGTGACCGCCCGCTTCGATAAAATATAAACAAACTCCTCAAACTTTCTCGTGAAAATTGCATCAGTTTGCATTTGCTCTAAATAATAAATTACCTGTAGATTGGCGTGTGCTCGTCTTTGTACCATACGACAAGAACGACGCTGTCGTTGAGCGCCGGAGGAAGAAGGTCGCAAGGCAATTGTGCGTTTCCTTTGACGATCGCCTGGACGTGCGTCACTGTGCCACCTGCAACATAAATTAAATTCTCTTACGACACACACACAAAAACACAAAAAACTTAACGCGTGCGCCTTTTGCATTATTCAAGATATCGTCGGTCGGCGGCAGAAAAGCGCCCGTTGTTTTAGACACACTCGAATCTTTTGTTAGGCAAATATAGAAAATTGAAAGCACACAAAATTAATGGAAATGTTTCATGCGACCAAGAGAATGAATGCTTTGGTTTGGTGGGGACGCATCAAATATGCGAATGAGGTAAAGTGAGTTTTTTTTTTGAATGACGAATGGTGGTTAAGCAGATTCAACCCTGTTTTTAATGTTTTGAACAATGGAGTAAACATTTGGGTGACAGCAATTCGTGCTGCAGAGCTGATTTTGTGTGCGTGTTACGATCTATCACACACAGGTTACTTTCATTTTTTATTCGTACTAGCATACAGGGTGCATCATAAAGTATTTTTATTTTGTTCGGACTTCAGTAATCAACTAAAACAAATTTCAGCGGCTGAGGTCAGATTTTTGAATAAGGACTATGAAAACAATACAAATTTTAAGTGAAAATGTTCCTCCTTGGTATCCAATACCCAAGAAATAAATTTACCATTTTTGTTTTACCACTATGCATGGTTTTAGTACCGAAAAATGTTGTCTTTCAAAAACAGTAAATGTGCCCTGTGTTAAATTATAATGTAATACATTTTTATTGAATAAATTAGTAAAGGAAACAACGAGGAGTATAATGTACTCATTTGTACTACATCTGAAAAAAAGGTGGCAGCCTTAACCCAATGTCCATATGATCTAAATGATAACGTTTTTGGGGCTGTTTGTTACCCAATAAGCCAATATTCCCCAGATTTGATCTTTCATGGCCTTGGGTGGGTAATCAATCCCATTTTTATTTAAATATGCTACCATTTTCCTCTTTGCCCAACTTTTTCGAGAAATTTCTTCCTAAAATAAACTAAAGTTTTATTACAATATATGAATACCTATGAAGACTAAATTGACACCTCAAATCCACTATGACAACTTGCGTTATCTATCACAATAAGAGAAGGTTCCCGCAAACTTGATATTTCATTTTTGCGTAAATTACGTTAATCTTTTAATTTTATTGGAACTGAACGATAAATGTACAATTTTTTTCTGGAAATAGTTCGCAAAATATCCCGTCGTGCATATCCAATTCTGTCCTAATTCTCTCGTGCGTATTCGCGCACTGGAGAAAATTAAATTTGTCGACAATTTGACATGCACTCGGGATATTACTATTGAAAATTTAAACTTCAACGATTCAATCTGACATTTGTCGAATGAACCAAACATGACAAAATTTCCTTCATTTTTAAAAACATCCAGTAGTTGTGTTAGAATAAAAAAAAGGTGCGTATCATAGAAATAAATCCCGTGTTGTAACTAACGGGTGTACAATAAAAAATATATTTGGAGCAGACGGTGAAAATTCAATTGTTTGCGACTTTTTTAAAGTGTAGGAAGAGTCACGTAACCATAGACTAACTCTTCATCATCCAACTGATTTAAGAATACACTTAAAATTTCGTCACGGTAGTTGGAGCATTTATGTACTCTGAAATGAAAACATCATTATTTTGTTGTGAAAATACTAAAAACCCCTCTATCCTTAAAAAAAAATTGGACCAATTATTCTGCGTTGGCTAATTGCAGCCCAAACACCAACTTTCTGGGGATATTGGGACGAGTCAATGAAAAAGTGAGTTTACATAGCCACTAAGATGAAAATATGCTTCATCAGTGAAAAACGTTTCAAGATGGTCACCCAGATCTAGAGTATTCAGAAACTTCTTCTCTAGTTCTGAAAAGACCTGATTTTTATCACGCAAACAAAGAAAAAGATGAAATAACAATAAACTGCAAAAAGGCGATACGAACGTTAGGGTTAGGAAATCTGAACGTCAAATGTAATTTTTTTTGTATTTAAGATGGTAATGATGTACCCATCCATGCTCTGAAGTATATTTGGTAGCCTAATTATGCTCCGAAAATATTTGTCCTGTTACTAAAAATGGCAAATTGTAATTCCAACGCCTACTCCAAATATATATTTTTTTGTATACCCGTTATTGTACTAAAAATGGAGTAGCTTGTTTTTCTAAGATTCAAATTCTGATTTTTTTTCAAGAATTTTGACGTGGTTTTGGAGGGATAAATTTGCTCACTGTATTTTGTAGCTAACGCCCGTATTCTATAGCTAAGAATTCATTTCTAAATATGAATTCTGGACCTCCCGAAATCATTTTTACAATTGATATGATATTTCAAATTAATGGCAATTCAAATTAATTTTTTTCATTCTAGAGTTATTCCTACTTAGAGTTAGAGATTTCATTATTTTGTTTAACAGGTGCAAAGTACAGTCGTCTCCATTTCGATTTGACCACTCCCTAGTGTAAGTCATCAAAAGTTCACTGGTATAAACGGCTATCCGTACCTTTTTAAAGAGAAAATGGCTGACGATTAATGACAGTAGAGTTACTTTTTGTTGACATTTGTTTGATCGGTTTGTCAATGTTTCGACTTTTCAACTTCTCGATCTTTTGATATTTCGATTTCTCGATGTCTCATATTTTGAATTTTTGTCGGTTTTTCGATATTTTACTTTTCGGTTTTTCGATTTTTCAATGTTTCGATTCTTGAATTATCCGATTTTTCAATTTCCCAATTTTTTAAATTTTAGAGTTTCGATTTATCGATTTGTTGATTGTTCAGTTTTTCGATTTTTAAATTTTAGGTTTTCGAATTTTTTTTTTATTTTTTGATATTTGAATTTCTCCATTTTTCAATTTTACGATATTTTAATTTTTCAATGTTTTAAATTTTCGATTTCTTGATTTTTCAGTTTTTCAATATTTTTTAATTTTTCAAATTTTGACGTTTCTGAATTTTTTGATTTTCCCATGACTCGACTTCCCAAAGTTTCGTTCTTTCAATTCTTTAGTTTTTCAATTTTTCCGTTTTTTATTTCCCAATTTTTTGATATTTCGTCCAATTTTGTGATTTTTTCATTTTTTCAGTTGTTCTATGTTTCAATTTTTCGATTTAGGAATGTTTACTATTTCGACTTTTTACTTTTTGGATTTTCAATTCTACGTTTTTTAAACTTTTGTTTTGTACTTCGATTTCTCAATTTTTCAACTTTTCGATATTTTAACATTTGAATGTTAAAATTTTAGGTTTTCGATTTTTCGAGTTTTCAGTTCTTCTGTTTTTCATTTTTCAATTTTCGGAATTTTGAAATATTCGATTTTCCATTTTTTTAAATTTTTCGGCATTATCAAACTGTGGTTTTTTGACAATATGACTGACATGTCGTTAATTGTGTGATGGACAATTAAAGTTGGAGATGTTATAGTTTCTGGAAAGGTTTAATACTGAAAAAATGTTCGCGAGTCATTACTCATGTTCACGCTTGGAAGACGAAGAATATGCCTTCTGACTTGTCGTAGCATTTTTTAGTTTTTTGAACAAAGTTTGTGTTTTTGGCTTCATAACATTTTCAAATAGCCTCATTAAATTGCATAGTGTAATCATACTATGTTCACCATTTCCAATAGCCTCGACTATACATTCAATAAGATGTAAGTGCTCATTCACAATGGGCATAAAGCATAAGGATGTCATGAGCATTAATGCATAAAAATTTATGTTTAGTGCTCTATGCTTGTATTCGTTCACAATGCGCATAAGTGCTCATTCACAATGAACATAAAGCACAAGGATGTCTTAAGCAGTATGCTCATTGTGAACGAATTACAAGCATAGAGCACTAAACATAAATTTTTATGCATTAATGCTTAGGACATCCTTATGCTTTATGCTCATTGTGAATGAGTACTAATAGTGCTTTGGATGTTTAATTATTACATCTGAATCCAAATTGTACAAAATTAAATAACTGAAACCGTTCATAATAATGTTCAACAAAATTACAAATATTTTACAAAAAATTGGGGCAATGCTAATAATAATTTTGCTCACTTTGAAAGAATCAGGAAAACTTCTAAAGCTAAAACATTTATTAATGAAATTAGTGAATGGAGTTAACAATACGTTTACACTAGATTTTAAAATTTTGGCATTTATACCATAAACATCGGTTGAAGAACTAAATGCATTCTGTTTGGCTATCTTAATAGCCTTACGGTAATTAACTCTAGATCTGAGATTATCATTCTTATGATTTATATCATCAGTACAATTTGAAACTACTTAAAAGGCAATTACTGAATCCCTCATAACTTTGAGTTCTTCGTTAAACCAAATAACACTGCTAGCTGAGTTTGCACCTTTTTGTAGCGGAAAACATAACCCATTAAGTGATTTATATGTGTGAATAAGGTAATTCGTAAAAGTGTTAACATTGTAGGGTAAGCGAAGAAAAATGTTGCTTCTCCGGTGGGAATCGAACCGTTTGCCGGGCGGGTGCCCTTACCACTAGACTACGAAGGAGCTTATCTTTCTTCGCTTCCCACTACGTATTATTTTGTCGCCACAACATCATTACTAGTAAATACTTTAAAAGATCAATCAATCAGTTTGTGACGTTCTTTTAATTTACCTAAACCTGTATTATTAATATACCTGGTAGTGAAGAATTTACCATCCACATTGACAGTCTTAGACTAACTTCCAGACTTCCCAGTATATTGCTTGTAAAATTAAACAAATGTACCAAAGTAAATTTAGAAAGACGATTTTAATAAATTTTCGTAGATGTGTCTAACAAGTTTATAACAGACTCATTTACTGATAATATTGCGGCTGCCCTTCTTAAACAGCGGCAAGGGTAAATAATTAGCTACCTCTTGCCTCTCAGACGATTATGACAGCGACTTGTCTGCATTTAACATTTTGATATTTTATAAAAAAAACTAGATTATTACTCACGTTAGGTGGCAGGAATATTTTTTTTAATTGCCGATATTCTTCACCAGTAACTGTTGAACATGTAGCTTTTTATTTCC